AATCCAAAGGCCCAAAAGTCTAATAGGAAACCAAGGCCCAACTATGGGCCAATTTTCCAAATTGGGGCCAAACCTCTACATGGTCTTGCCCTAAGGCCCAACCATTTATTCTTGATCCAACACTTGACATTCTGATGGTCTAATATCTCATAATCATCAAGGCCCAAAATATGACCCATCTGTGGGCCAATTTTCCAAATTAGGCCCAAACCTTTCCAATAGGCCTTATCCTTAAACCTAATCCAAGTGTTCTAGTCCATTTACTTGTTAATAGTTGGCCCATCAAGAGTCCACACATCTAGGCCCAACAGAAAGGCCCAACTCTAAATCCAACACAATTAGGTTTTTCACATGAAATGACGATTAGGGTTAAGTGTTTCTCACTTAAGTCATTAAGGACTTAATCCATTAAGTCCATCACTCTACTAGATAAATCATATATTCATATGGTGTGATTATGTGTAATTCACAATTCCATTCCAATGGCCCAAATGTGGGTCCCAATAAGTCCAAGGCCCATATATCCAAAATTAGGGTTTTCTAAACCCGAATTAGGGTTTACAACCCAATAGGCCCAAAAGCTAAGTCCTTAGATCCATTAGGGTTTCATTAGGCCCATTAGGGTTTCATTAGGCCTATTAGGGTTTCGTTAGTCGGACACCACCCACTACCACCTCGGGTAGTGGTGGTCAACAGCGGCCACCACCTCGCAGTGGTGGTTAGGTTTCTAGTCCAATCGAGTCCAAGCATCCCAAAAGTAATCCAAACACATGCAAAGCACACCGCCACCCAACACGGCAGCCGGTGGCAGCAGGAGGCGGCAGCCACCACCTCACGGTGGTGGTTATGAGTTTTCTTTTCATTATTCTTACTTGATTACAATTTTATAATGCGAAACACCAAATATACATACACATACTCACTAAAATAAACACACACAACGACCCTTGTGGTGGCCGGTAATGGCACATGGTGGCAGCCACCACCTTACGGTGGTGGTGGTGGCTTCCTTGGTTTTCTAACCACAAAAAACACACGCATCGCTCGAGATCTGAAAGCAGCCACCCACCTGATGGCGTTTATCGATGGCAACAACAACAACATAGCATCCTACGGTAACTTGTCTTCAACGGAAATGGGTAGGGCGGCGGCAACGACACGGGAAGGCGGCAACATCAGCGGTCGTGATGTCAGCCACCACCTCATGGTGGCAACGAGTGGTCTTCCTTGATCCTCTGCCAAATACACGTCTGCACACTCACGAACGGCCTACAGTGGACGACGGGGCATGAACGATGGCAATGACTGTGCCTACAGCCGACATCGTCGGTGATAGTTCTTCTTCAACGAGATTGGTGGTCCCCGACTGTGGTGAACGTGCTTCGATGGTAGAGTCGTTGGTGGCGAATGAGAGCTTGACGTGGCGGCCGCTAGCTGATCGGAAAACGAATGGAGAATGGTGGCGACGACATCGGAGACGAATGGGTATAAGGATGGAGAGATGGCGGTTGAACTCTTGATTTAGGGTTAGGATTACTGGGTGACGGGTCTTATATACCCCTATGAATGTATCCCATAATGACAGATTCGATCCCTCCTCCCCCTTTTCTTTCAACTTAAGCCCAAAACTTATACTTTAGCCCCTAACCCCATAAAATCTTTTCAACTTTAATCCAATATTTACCTTTCAGCCCCCAACCTCCAAAAATATCTTCAAATTAAGTCCCTATAATTTTCCAAGCCGTCCGTGCCTTCATAAATATTTGCAAACCACTCCAAAACTTCCACTTTTAACCCCCATCTTCTAAAATTGTAACAATTAACACTCGAGACCAACACCTTGCTATATTATTGATTTTTGGGCTACTATTATTCATGAATTTGTCTATTTATTTATTTAATAAACGGCGTGTTACAACCTGGTTTAAAGTTTGATATTCTTTAATGTTGCTCAAACTAATTTTTTTCGTAAAAGCTTTTTTTGGTTTGAGTGCATCTAAGTTTGGCAGGTTTCATGGCTTTGTCGTATCTCGACTCAAGACATGAACCCGATTTCCAGGTCTATGTTATTATATTTGATTATATATTTTTTTGGTGCTCCTACTGCTAAATATTCATGTGTCCACTATTGACCATATTCCATAGATAATTACTCATTTCACCTCATGTGAAATAGTCAAGATGTGGTCCTCTAGTATTTTTCTGGTCCTTAGTATTTCAAAAATAGTTCGACATAATGTTTGCACATATGTTTCAAAAATCGATGTGAACTGATCGGACTAGGAACCGGTGACGGGAGCGGTTCAACAACAACCGGTTGTATGTTATGTTCTAGATCGATTTGAATTGGACGATCTCTTCAAAACCAGGTTGAATAGGTATGGTGAAACCGGTAAAAAACCGTTGTAACCGATTTATTGGATTTAAATAGTTGGATTTCACTTAGCCATTTTAAAAAATAATCTATTTGCAAAGAAAATTGAACAACTCGCTCAATCAGGTTTATCCGAAATGAACCTGTGATCAACGGTTGAACAGGAAACTGGTCATTAGATCGGTTCAAATAAAAAACTGAATTTTAAAACATTGATTTTCACTTTTATTTTGTAATCTATTGAGACATTACCAACTCAAAAATGATTGAATATGGAAATAAATATATTCAAGTAAGCTTTTCTTCTTTATATGGTTTACATTCACATATAATGATTGGATATGGTGTAGATTTAGAATTTTATTAGCATAGGAATGATTTTACAAAACCAATTTGGGTTTTGTAGTGTAAGGATGTTGTTTGCCGTACACATATTACGAAATGAACCATTCACTACAAAGCCCAAATAGGTTGTGTGAGATCCAATGGCAAATGTATATATAACTAGAGGTAGGTCATTTGACCTACCAATGTTTCCTATGTTTTTCGTATGTATAACAAGTTATATATTATTAAATATGTGACTTATCTTAAATAATTGTAGTGAACTACCTAATATCTTTGGCAAGAAAAAAAAATCAAATGCAACTCATATTCTACATTTTAACAGCCCAAGATTTTTTAAAATATAATCCAATATGATTAGCCCACTACAATTTAAATTTAGAAAAAAAAATGTTTATACGAATCAACTGATCCAGACCCACATCTTCTTCTTCTACAAAAAGTTATTTCCCGGTACCTAGAAAAGGGCTTCCCAGAGTGAAGATACTCTTTGTAGGCCTTAGATTGTGATGTGTACATTCATTGTGCTCCTACATGAGGTCTCTTTGGATCCCATCATGATCATGAAGGAGCATGTATTTTCTACAAAATGCATGTCTTTTTTTTTTGAACCGGTAAATCTAGCTACTCTTAAACTAACAACACCTATTCCATCTATGTCTACAACTGGATTTGAACCCTCGACCTCAAAGAGGGAGGGCACCACCTGATACCGCTGGGCTACAAGCCCTTTGGTAAAAAGCATGTCCTTATGCAACCTCTCTCTCTCTTTCCCTTATTTCTTTGTTTTTTAATTATTTTAATTATTTTTTAACTAACTAATAATATAAATAAATGAGCAAGTCTTCATCTCTATTCTCAACAAGGTCTTAAAAACCGGGTCGACCCATCCGGTCGAACCAATTGGACCGCTACCTGGTGAAGAGAGAGGATCAACTACAAGCATGTTTTTCCTATTTATGACATGAATTTAATTGGACCGCTTTACCAAAAAATTGGTTGAACTGTTGACCCGAAACCCCTCTTTACGGGGTTGTAACAAATATTCAACGTTTCCCATTTGACACTTGTTCAATATTCAACATTTCCATAAAATAAATAAGTAAATGTAATCATACCTTCTTTACGTGATAATAATTTATCAAGTAAAGTTCTTAGTGCCTTGGTATTTGCAGTAGCTTTTTTCTTATCCCTCAAAAGCAACTACATGGTACCATTGTCGTTAAGTTCCATGAGAGGAATTGAGGCACTCAATCTTTCTCATAATAATTTATCGGGACAAATTAATTCCTTGATTCCTGGAACGATTTCTCTTATTAAAGTATGTGTTACATATCCTTTAATGGATTTGAGGGTGAAATACCTGCACTAATTAATTGGACTGTTTACCAATACAAGTGCATTATTTGTCTTGGGGAATAGCAGGCTTTGTGGTGGCTTGGACGAACTTGGGTGACCAAAATGCAAGGCGACAAGCAAACAAAAAAAGAGGTTTTGGCAAATTTTGGAGTTTTATGTGGAAAATAGTTCTTTCACTATTCTAAACCCAAATGAGGGGATAGAATACTAGCTAGTTGGCTTCTTTCTTAAGCAAATTTTGGAATTTAATGTGGAAACATGGCTCTTTTATTATTACACAACGAAAGAAGAGGGGTCAGAATACATGTCACCTTTCATTTTCTAAGTTGACTTTTAAAATTTTGTGAAAATATTGAAAGCTGCTACTCTTAGCCAACTAAAAGTTACGAAAGGGATTAGAGGGAGTTAATAATGTTTGATAAAAAAAAACTTTGATTTATACCGAGAACATATTATTTTTTTGGATTTTATAAAAATCTAGACCAAAAAAGGTCAGAAAACCGTCTTAAGAGCACTTGCACCGATTCCACCAATTGAATTTAAATCAATTCATATATTAGTCTGTTTCTTGTCTTCAAAATTTTGTTTTAAGTCCATGTCTGGACCATAACGAATTATTCCTATAACCAATTTTGACTAGCTAGAAGGATCCTCAATTTGTCTTGGTCAAGATGATACGAAATTTACCGATGGCTTTCATTTTGCATTGTCAGTGTAGGCTTTATAATGAACATGCAAAAACAGAGTATAAATTTGAAAGCCAGCACCCAGTTATCCTTGTACTCTTCTTAAATTAAAATGAACTCTGATCGTATTGCATTCCTCTATTCTACTCTTGTTATATCTCTGATAACCTTCACCATCTCTGTTTCCAAGTGGCAGTAATGAGACTGATTATCAAGCGCTCTTGAAGTTGAAGTCGATGATCAGGAATGAAGAAGCTCTAAGCTCATGGAATGATTCCTTTCATTTCTGTGATTGGAGTGGTATTTCATGTGGGAAGCGCCACAGAAGAGTCATTGTTCTACAACTGAGTTCCAAAGGCCTAGAAGGCTCGTTGTCTCCACATGTAGGGAACCTCAGTTTCCTTCGTTTATTTAGTCTCTGGAACAACAGCTTTCAAGGAACGATCCCGCATGAACTCGGTCGTCTATCCAGGCTACGTGTTCTGGATCTTAGCAATAACAAATTTAGTGGAGTCATTCCAACTAACTTGTCTGGTTGTTCTAACCTTGAAAAGCTTGGCCTTGATGATAACAAGCTGGTTGGAAGCATACCCAAAGAGATTAGTTTCCTCTCCAAACTTACTGAATTGGTATTTGGTAGAAATAATTTAACAGGTGGAATCCCGCATGTCTTGGGGAATATAACATCAATGGAAGTGCTCTCTGCTGATGAAAATCCATTGGGTGGGAGCATTCCAGACTCCTTAGGCCATTGGAAAAGCTTAACAGGTTTTGGTTGTGGTCGTTGTAATTTATTTGGAACCATCCCTCATTCCATTTATAACCTCTCACTCCTAACTCATTTTTCCTTGCCTTGGAATCAGCTTACTGGTACTCTTCCCTTGCCGTTAGGTTCAATGCTCCCTCATCTTGAGTACCTTCAGATATGGGGTAACCAACTGACTGGACCTCTTCCACCCTCGATATCTAATTGTTCGAAATTACAACATCTTGAAATGCAAGCAAACAATTTTAGTGGGAAGTTGACGATTGACTTTGCAAAACTAAAAGATATCCGTGTGATATCCCTTGGTGGTTACTTTAATGGTAACATGGGTGGACTCGGAGAAGGTGATGATATGAGGTTTATTGATACTTTGAAAAACTGCAGCCAATTAGGGTCTTTGCAGGTTTCTAATTCCAAGATTCAAGGAGTGCTGCCCACATCGATTGGTAATCTTTCTGGTCAACTCTTTCGTCTAATCTTACAAGAAAATAATTTATATGGACACCTCCCTTCAAGTATAGGTAATCTAGTCGGCTTGACCACTTTAGATTTATCAGATAACTAATTCACAGGAGAAATCCCTTCCACCATTGGTCAGCTTCAAAATCTACAATCTACTGATCTATATGACAACCAATTTTCCGGGGCGATTCCAGATTCCATTGGAAACTTATCATTGTTGATTAACCTTGATTTAAGTTCCAACGGATTAGAATCGCATATTCCATCAAGCCTGGAAAATTGTCATCGTCTATTACAATTGCAACTTGCTCACAATAAGCTCAGTGGCAAAATTCCTAAACAACTTGTTCAACTTTCATCTCTAGCCGTAGTATTAAATCTTTCTCAAAACAACCTCATTGACTCACTTCCAATAGAGGTTGGCCAACTCAAGATGCTGAGTGCTCTGGATTTATCTGATAATAATTTATCAGGAAACATTCCTAGTAGCCTTGGTGATTGCACTAGCCTTTCATTCTTATCCCTCAAAGGCAACTCATTTCAAGGCATAGTACCATCGTCAATAATTTCAATGAGAGGAGTTGAGATACTCGATCTCTCTCATAATAATTTATCAGGCCAAATCCCTCAATTCATGGAACGGTTTTCATTCGTATATGTAAACCTATCATTTAATGATTTTGAGGGTGAATTACCAGTGCTAGGAGTGTTTGCCAATGTCAGTGCATTCTCTGTTATGGGTAATAGGAGGCTTTGTGGTGGCTTGCCTGAACTTGGGTTACCCAAATGCAAGAAGACAAAAAAACATCAAAAAGAGTTTCCTTTGTCCATCATATTCATTATAATTGCGTTCACAATTTTCAGCATTCTATGTTTAGTGTATGTTTGGTATAAGAAAAGGAAGGCCCCATCATCTCAATCACTTAGGGATGAACAATTCATGAAAGTATCATATGGTGAACTTCTCAAGGCTACCAATGGATTCTCCGAAGCCAATTTGATTGGCGAGGGTGGGTTTGGCTCTGTTTACAAAGGAGTCCTTGACGATCACGATGGTAGAATTGTTGCAGTCAAAGTTATACATCTTCAAAACCGAGGTGCTCACAAAAGCTTTATAGCGGAATGTGAAGCATGGCGGAATATCCGACACCGGAATCTGTTGAAGATAATAACTTCATGTTCAAGTCTTGACTTTCAAGGCAATGACTTCAAAGCTTTGGTATACGAGTTCATGCCTAATGGTAGTCTACATGATTGGTTGCATTCAAGTGCAAGTACATCCAGACTCAACCTTCTTCAAAGAATAAAAATCCTCCTTGATGTTGCATCTGCACTTGATTATCTTCACAATCACTGCCTACCAACCATTGTTCACTGTGACCTGAAGCCTAGCAACATTCTCCTAGATGATGATTTGGTGGCTCATGTTGGAGATTTTGGGTTAGCTCGATTTCTTGGAACAAATTCAGACCAAAACAGCACAAGTGGCATTAGAGGAACAATTGGGTTTGCACCTCCAGGTAAAGTTCATATATTCAGGTGCATGCTCATATATATTTGTAGCTAGTACATTTCCTTTTATTAAAGTAACTGCTTATAAGTTGCAGAGTATGGTGTTGGGAGTGAGATGACAAGTAGTGGGGATGTCTATAGTTTTGGAATACTATTGTTGGAGGTGATGACAGGAAAGAGGCCAACAGACAACATCTTTAATGAAGGCCTCAGCCTTCATAAAGTTGCACACATGGCCTTGCCAGACCATGTAATCGATGTTATTGATGATGACCTTCTGAATTTACTTCAAGAAGAAGTTATTGCTACGCAATGTACGGAAGCAAAACCAAAGAAAATAGAGGAATGTGTGGCCTCAACGGTCAAGATTGGAGTATCATGCTCTATGGATTCCCCACCACAACGGATGAATATTGGAAATGTTGTCCGTGACTTGCAGCATATTCTGAATATCCTTCAAAATATGTGAGGTGTCATGTTAGTCCAGATTGTGTGTATTTATTGTTAAATATGGATGTATTTGAGTATTTGCTGAATCTTGTATTTTGATGGTATAAACTATGAAATAAATGGATTGAATGTATTATTTTGAAAATATGGTGGTCTTTTAAGAATAAAATTGGGTAGAGTTGAAAGAATGTAATTGTTCCAAATTACAACTTGTCGCAGTGAACAAGAACAATTTTAGGGGGAAGTTGGCAATCAACTTTGCAAGACTAAAAGATATCCATAACTTAATCTTGGGTGATAACATCTTTGGATCTGGAGAAGCTGATGATATGAAGTTTATTGATACTCTGAAAAACTGTAGCAAATTAGATTATTTGGATTTTCGCAATTGCAAGTTTCAAGGAGTGTTGCCCGTATCAATTGGTAATCTTTCTGATCAGCTCCGTTATCTTGTTATACAGGGAAATCATCTATATGGACGCCTCCCTTCAAGTGTAGGTAATCTGGTCGGCTTGACCTCTTTGGATTTATCAGTTAACCTATTCACTGGAGTAATCCCATCCACCATTGGTAAGCTTCAAAAGCTACAAGAAGCTTATCTACTAGGGAACCAATTTTCAGGGCCGATTCCACATGCCCTCGGGAACTTATCATTGTTGACTAGACTTTGGTTAAGCTCCAACAGATTGGAACCGGATATTCCATCCACCCTGGGAAATTGTCATAATTTGTTCGAGATTGTAGGATAATGTAGGGTTTGTGATGGAGATCTGGATGCCAACTTGGATCGTGAGAACACTTTCTGAACTGATATTTCTACCCTATGCCTGGGTTGCAAGAAATTCAGCCTAGGATAATCCAAGTGAACACTTACAATTCTAGGCATAGAAATCGTAAGCCAATTTGCTAAAAAGATTATGTGAGCGTTTGAAGAGAACGAGAGCTAATTTTCGGATATCACTTCACAACAGGAAGAGTCATTTATATAATAAACGAAATTAGGGTTGGGCCGTCATTAGTTGGATTAATGAGGATTTAGGGTTATCAAAACTAACGAGTTTCGTTAGGATCAGGCCATCATTAGTTGCTCTGCTCCTTGGACCCCGCTAGGGGCGCTGCCCCTAGACCCCGCCAAAGGGGCACCGCCCCTTTGGAAACCCCGGACCCAGGGGCGCTGCTCCAAACCCCCGACCTGACATCGAACCGACTTCTAATTTCATCTTATACATGTGTGCACTCCTCACCAACCCGTACATATATCAGAGTACAAATTAAGAAGCCCCTTAGCTCACATGTTAGTTCCAGTTACATAAAATGACATTGTTACACTAAAATCACCAACAAAGATGTACTTTGATGACAATAAACTCAGCGACTGAGTACCTAAACAACTTCTTCAACTTTCATCTCTAACCATAACATTAAATCTTTCTCAAAACAACCTGTCTGGGTCACTTCCAATAGAGGTTGGCGACCTTAAGATGTTGAATTATCTTGATCTATCTAATAATAATTTATCTGGTAAAATTCCTAGTAGCCTTGAAGGTTGCACTAGCCTTTTACACTTATCCCTCAAAGGCAAAATATTCCAAGGCATGGTACCACCGTCATTAAGTTCCATGAGAGGAATTACAATACTCGATCTCTCTCATAATAATTTATCTGGACAAATTCCTCGATTCTTAGAACAGTTGACCTTGTTAGAATATGTAAACCTATCCTTTAATACTTTGAGGGGGATGTACCAGTGGTAGGAGTGTTCGCCAATGCAACTGCATTCTCTGTTTTAGGGAATAGTAGGCTTTGTGATGGCTTGGCTGAGCTTGGCTTGCCCAAATGCAAGGCAACACGAAAACCTAAAAAAGGATTTCCTTTGTTCGTGATATTCATTCTGATTGCATTCACCCTCGCCGACATTTCATGTTTTGCATATGTTTGGTGTAAGAAAAGGAAGGGTCAACCGTCTCAATCATCGAGGGACGAATGATTCATGAAAGCATCATACACTCAACTTCTCAAGGCTACCAATGAGTTCTCCAAAGCAAATTTTGATTGGTGAGGGCAGGTTCAGCTTTGTTTACAAATGAGTCCTTGATCATGATGATAGATTTGTTGCATTCAAAGTTCTACATCTTCAAACTCAAGGTGCTCACAAAAGTTTTATGGCAGAGTGTAAAGCATGGTGGAGTATTCGAACTGGAATCTAGTTAAAATAATAACTTCAAGTTCAGGTGTTGACTTTCAAGGCAATGACTTCAAAACTTTGGTATACGAGTTCATGTCCAATGGAAGTTTACATGATTGGTTGCATTCAAGTGAAACTACATCCGGATTGAACCTCGTCCAAAGAATAACCATTTTCATTGATGTCGCATCTGCACTTGATTATCTTCACAATTACTGCCTACCAACCATCCTTCATTGTGACTTGAAGTGTAGCAACGTTCTGCTGGATGATGATCTGGTAGCCCATGTTGGAGACTTTGGTTTAGCACGATTTCTTGGAACAAATTCAAACCAAAACAGCACAAGTGGCATTAGAGGAACGATTGGGTACACACCTCCAGGTAAATTAAGTCCATTTATTCCCACATGCTCATATTTATTTATAGTGTTACCTTCTTTTTCTAAAGTAATTGCTTATAAGTTGCAGAGTATGGGGTTGGGAGTGAGATGACAAGTAGTGGAGATGTATATAGTTTCAGTATACTATTGTTGGAGGTTGTGACAGGGAAAACGCTGACTGATGACATCTTTAACGAAGGCCGTAGCCTATACAAATTTGCAGACATGGCCTTGCCAGACCATGTACCCGATGTTATTGATGATGACCTTCTAAATTTTCTTCAAGAGGATGCTATTGCTAAGCAAAGTACTTTAGCAAATATAAAGAAAATAGAGGAATGTCTAGCTTCAACCATCAAGATTGGAGTATCATGCTCTGTGGATTCCCCACCACAATGGATGAACATCGCAAATGTTGTCCATGAGTTGCAACATATTCTGTATATGCTTCAAAACATTTGAGGTGCCATGCTAATCAATATTGTGGGTGTTAATTGACTAAAAATAGATGTATCTGAGTATGTGATGAATTTTGTATTTTGTTGGAATACAATGTGGAAGGAATGGAATGAAGGTGTTATTTTTAAAAATATGGTGGTCTCTACAGAGAAAGATAAAGTTTTGAGGTACATTTGAAAGAACGGACACATTAGTGTTGAAGGTCATCACTAGCCCAATAGAATCATGATATTGTCTAGAAGAAGTTAGCATGTTCTAGAATGATCTGGAAGATTCTAGAACATTATGGAATACTATGGAGGAGTGTTGAAGATGCCGGAAGATTCTAAAATACTCTAGAACGAGATGGAAGACCCTGGAAGGCTATGGAACATTCTAGAACACTATGGAAGACACAAGAACGTCTATACTTATCTAGGACATTATAGAACATTCTAGAAACATATAAAAGCTTGTAATAGATATAGAATATGGTAGATAGTTCTAGAATAGCCATGAATGTATGTAGATCTAGAAACTTCCTATAAGGAGGTGGAAACACCTATAAATAGGTGTGGAGCTCATTTGCTCCAAACAATCCAACATCCAAGCTATCCAAAAAAAGCCTCCAAGTAAGAAAAGTGTGTAGTAGTCTCACAAAGTGTAAGGTCTTCTTAAGTGTCTTAATAAAAGTCTTGTTGTTTCCCATACAAAGAGTCGTGTTCAACAATCTGGTATCAGAGCGAGGTTTCTTGATAGTGAGAACAAGTGATTCTCGTTGTATCGTGAGTAGTTTGTGACTCTGCAAGTTTAGTGTCGAAACTAGCTTGTTTGGTATTACCGAGGTACTGCCAACACGATGGGTGATCTCCAAGTCGTCGGAGGAATCAAGAAACTCAACAACAACAACTACAAAACGTGGGAAACATGTATGAAGTCCTACTTACAAGGACAAGATCTATGGGAGGTCGTTGGTGGAAGCGAAACTACGCCACCAGAGGAAGACGTTAATGGTGCTTTGCGCAAATGGAAAATCAAAGCAGGCAAAGCAATGTTTGCCTTGAAGACCACAATCGAAGAAGAGATGTTGGAGCATATTCGGGATGAGAACACCCCGAAAGAAGCTTGGGACACGTTTGTGACGCTTTTCTCAAAGAAGAATGATACGAGACTACAACTTTTGGAGAACGAGCTATTATCAATCTCACAACGTGACATGACGATTGCTCAATATTTCCACAAGGTCAAGTCGATATGTCGGGAGATTACTGAACTAGATCCACAATCCGTCATTGCAGAATCTCGAATGAAGAGGATCATTATCCATGGACTGAGGTCGGAATATAGAAGCTTTGTTACTGCTGTACAAGGATGGCCCGTTCAACCATCACTTGTAGAGTTTGAGAATTTGTTGGCCAGCCAAGAAGCTATGGCTAAGCAAATGGGAGGCATCACGCTGAAGAGTGAAGAAGAAGCACTCTACACAAGTAAAAGTCGGAGGAATTTCAAGCCACCTTCTAAAGAAGGATACAAAAATGCTGACAAAGGGAAGAGTCAGCAAGGAACCTCACAACCATGGAGATCTCAAAAGACCGACAATAAGAGTTCTCGGGGGAGGAGGTTCGAAGGCAACTGCAACAATTGTGGAAAGTGGGGCCACATGTCCAAGGATTGTTGGTCAAAGAAAAAGTCTGTGGAAAGCAATGTAGTAACTTCCAAAAAGGAAGTAGAGGATGAATGGGATGCTGAGGCACTATGTGCTATAGAAGAGAATAAGACTAAAAGAGGAAGGCTAATGTTCGTGGATGCCAGGGTAAATGGAGGATACACCAAGGCTTTAGTAGATACAGGTGCATCCCATAATTTCCTTGCTAAAGATGAAGCTAAAAAGTTGGGCATCAAATACACCAAAAATCCAGGCCGGTTGAAAGTCATCAACTCTTTATCCAAGCCTATCATTGGTGTTGCATATGGAGTACCTCTTAAGATAGCAGAATGGGAAGGCACCATAGACTTGACAGTGGTGCATATGGATGACTATCATATGGTATTGGGAATGGATTTCCTAGACAACGTACGACCCTGGTCATTTGAGAGAGATGATACCATGCGTATCACTAAGGGTTCAATAATTCACATTGTACCCTTGAAGAGAAATATGATTGGATCCCGCATGCTATCAACTATGAAACTCGACAAAGGCATCAAGAAGAGCGAGACAAAGTTTATGACAACCTTGAAGGAGGAAGACATTCATTCGAAGATGGATGCTCCAAAGGAGAATAATAACATGACATCACCAGAGTTGCATAAAAAGTCTCATCTTAGACGAAAAATGGAACATGTGATGGAGAAACTGGATAAGGCGAATAAGAAGAAAAACACATTAATTCGTAAGAGCAAAGAATTTTCCAGGGCTTGTAAAAGGGACACCCCACATGCTTACAAGTTCTCCAACGGGAGGCATAAGAAACTATATAAGAGAGTTCAACGGGGTCACGGACAATATTATGGTGCAACAAAAGGCAACCACGAATGTTGTTGTCAACTATGGAAACAATATACGAAGCAACGACTGCAACAACTAAGGAAAAACAAAACATGTGGAAGAGAAAAAGTTCTCAAGGAAGAATTCAATATGAAACATATCAAGACTAATGACCAAGTAGCAAATGGAGTTCATAAAGGGTTAAGTACTAACAAATATGAGGGCTTTAATTATCAGCTCAACATGGTACAACGAATAGGGGCTAGTGCTGAGGGGGAGTGTTGAAGGTCATCACTAGCCCAATAGAATCATGTTATTGTCTAGAAGAAGTTAGCATGTTCTAGAATGATCTGGAAGATTCTAGAACATTATGGAATACTATGGAGGAGTGTTGAAGATGCCGGAAGATTCTAAAATACTCTAGAACGAGATGGAAGACCCTGGAAGGCTATGGAACATTCTAGAACACTATGGAAGACACAAGAACGTCTATACTTATCTAGGACATTATAGAACATTCTAGAAACATTTAAAAGCTTGTAATAGATATAGAATATGGTAGATAGTTCTAGAATAGCCATGAATGTATGTAGATCTAGAAACTTCCTATAAGGAGGTGGAAACACCTATAAATAGGTGTGGAGCTCATTTGCTCCAAACAATCCAACATCCAAGTATCCAAGAAAGCCTCAAAGAGAGAAAAGTGTGTAGTAGTCTCACAAAGTGTAAGGTCTTCTTAAGTGTCTTAATAAAAGTCTTGTTGTTTCCCATACAAAGAGTCGTGTTCAACACGGATACATTGGGGTTAGATTGAAAATTTTAAACATTTGTAAGTACCATTATGAAACCCATAGTGGAAACATACACATCATCTGTAAGTAAATATGTGTCAAATCCTTCTATGGGATCTGTGAAACGTAGAGAACCTAATCAAGAGATTTGCTGTCTTTTTTGCTTATTCTGTCAGTTTAGATGCTTACATGTATGGTTCTTATAGTTATTGCTGGGAGTTCCTCACTACCACCACCTTCATCTTTGTGTTCTACAACATAAGGAAATCCAAAATCCAGGTGGTGAACTTCGATCCTCATTATCCTTCTCCAATACTTATTGTGAAATTGTGGAATGTTTCCTTTTCTTGTTCTACTTTTGGTAAGAGGTGAAGGATTATAGGAGGCTATACCTCATTTCTTTGTTTCTTGCACGCTGATGTTGATCTGCACCCAACAAAGCTGATTTCATAGGAGAAGAAAAAACAGAGAAAATAGAGAATTTCTTTGAAAGGCTACTGGAATATTGATGAATCACATATGTATGCACGCCTTCCTACTCCTGAATTTAAAAAATAAAATAAAACCCAATAGATAGGTATATAACCAATTACACAATTAACACATCCTCACCTATAGGAATCAAAAGAAGTGCATTAAGCCGGTAAACTGACAGAAAGGGGAAAAAAATCTTCTGTCCAAGTAGTGTTTATCTTTTCGAAAAAGAAACATTATTTAAGTTTTCAAGAAACATTTGTGCGTTTAGGTTTATTTAAAAGTTTTAGCAGCTTAAGTATGAAGGGTTGATTCCATTTGGGGTGTCTTCCCTGCTTGAATGATCCAAGTGTGCCCTTCACATTCATATGGTCAACTTTTCGGGCATGGGAAACTAGATTTAAGTAAAGAGCATACTGATAGATTCTGTTTGAAATAAGCAAATGATTGAAATAAAGTGACCCAATTCGAGAGGGGCAAAGTCTCCGATACAAACGTAATACTCTGATAAAATCTAAAACTGACTAAAAATAAAACATAGCCTGTTAATATAAAAATACTAATGGTTACTAACTGTTTCTGGAAAAGGGCTTGTGAACTGCCCCACACCATTCCATTTCCCCACTACTACTTTGACTAAGTGGATCCAACCAATACCCAAATATTGAATTAAGTTGCTCCAAGTACACCTAGCTCTTTGACCCGTTTCTTTTTCCTTGTGTACACTTTACCCGGTATTGTATCACGTACCTTGACAGACTTATTTTCACTAGAAGTAGAATTCCACTTTTTTAAATTGGATTAAAGAGAAAAAGATGTGGAATCTAAAAGAGGGGAGTTTTGAATTATCAAGTATCTTATTTCAAACTCATCATTGAATTTGTCTTTGGTTGTATTGGAAATATTGGAATAGTTTGAAGGTTATTTGGTAAGTTTTATTGGTATCAGGTTTGTTATATCTATTCTTATGCAGGGTGTATATTGTATTTAGTAGATTGTGTTGGACTGCGCTTCTAACTTTATACATATAAACACGCAGATCTATTTCGGGTTAAGGTTGGGTGGATTTTACTTGGATCCGTGACCCGGTTTCATGCCTTGAGCATATATTTGTGTTATGTGTGTTTTTTTGTAATTAGACACAAAATTTTCTCACACACACATATGCTCTTCTCTCTTTTTTTAACTAAATGAAACTTACTTTAAGGCTGATGGTTCTGTGGTTTTTAAATTGTACCAACGTATTAATTCTTTAACACAAAGTGGTTTGTCTATGTCCGATTATTATAATAAACTTAATGATCTTTGGAAAGGGTTTGACGATTTAACTAATTATATTGAATGTGTTTATGATGCTACAACTCAATTTAATAATCATTCATAACTAATGTAGTTTTTAAGTGGTCTTGATGATTCTTTGAATCAAGTAAAGAGTTACATTCTAATTATGGAACCATTGCCAAATGTTAAAAATGTTTTTTCTATTGTGTGAAGAAAAGAGTCAAATCAGAAACATGGCTCTATCTGTACTCTCTAGTATTGTAAATAAAGACCAGTCGTCTACTTTTGTAGGAAAGGTTAATGATACTAAAAATTTTAAAGGAAGACATCAAAATTTACAATGTAAACATTATGGTCTTAAAGGTCATACTATTGAAAAATGTTACAAACTTATTGGTTTTCCAAAAGATTTTAAACCTATAAATGATTTTAACAAATCTTTTGTGAGTGTTCCTATTGTAGCCTCTCATGTTAGTGATGTTTGTAGTACTTCTTCTGATAAGTTGGATCAGAATTTTCTAACAAGTGATGAGCAATATTCCAAAATTGTTTCTCTTTTGAATGAAAAAAGGGACACATAAGGAAGTATCTGGTAGTGCCAATATGGCAGGTATTTCTTGTAACAATGTTTTTAGTAATAAAATTAACCAGTGGGTTGTTGATTTTGGAGATGGTCAAAATATGATAGTTGATGAATCACAACTCCATGACATTATTGATGTTTCTAAGCTTAATCTTAAAGTTGATCATCCAAATGGATCAATTGCTAAGATTGATAAGATTGGAAATATGAGCATGTATGGATCCATCTCTCTTCAGGATGTTTTTGTTGTTCATGATTTTCACGTTAATCTTCTATATGTTCATAAAATAGTACTTCTTCTGATAAGTTGGATCAGAATTTTCTAACAAGTGATGAGCAATATTCCAAAATTGTTTCTCTTTTGAATGAAAAAAGGGACACATAAGGAAGTATCTGGTAGTGCCAATATGGCAGGTATTTCTTGTAACAATGTTTTTAGTAATAAAATTAACCAGTGGGTTGTTGATTTTGGAGATGGTCAAAATATGATAGTTGATGAATCACAACTCCATGACATTATTGATGTTTCTAAGCTTAATCTTAAAGTTGATCATCCAAATGGATCAATTGCTAAGATTGATAAGATTGGAAATATGAGCATGTATGGATCCATCTCTCTTCAGGATGTTTTTGTTGTTCATGATTTTCACGTTAATCTTCTATATGTTCATAAAATTTGTAAAGATAATAAATGTAAAGTTGTTTTTGATGAACATAATTGTGTCATCTAGGATTCACTGTCTAAGGAGACTATGGAGACTGATAATGAAATTTGAGGTCTATACGACCTCTTATTTGTCTAAGTCTTCTCTTTGTTATGTGTCAAAGCTCACTTGGCATAATAGACTTGGACATCTTGCTGATCACACATTAAATGTCATTAAACCCTTTTTAAATTTTGATAATGGGTCTATTCCTCCATGTGAGGTTTGTCACAAAGCAAAGCAAACAAGAGACCCTTTTCCATTAAGTGAACATAAAACAAGTAAAGTTGGTGAGTTAGTTCATTTAGATGTCTGGGGTCCTTATAGATTTGTTGCTTCTGAAAGTTTTAGATATTTTGTGTTCTTGAGTGTAGAATAGGGAGAGTTTTGTAGTAAGGAGAATTGTATTGAGAGTGAGAGAATCTATAGTGGGTTTTCGTTTGTATGTAATGAAAACCAACTGATTCTTATAATAAAAGGGTTGTTGATGTTGTGTATGTTTAGTTTGTTTTCTTATTAGGGGGAAATCGTCATAGGGTAGAGATTGGAATCATGATACACCTACTATGAAATCCTACATTCGCCCCGGTGAGCATTGGTTGTTTAGCCTTTCACATGTGATTCGCATGACTAGGCTCTTTGACCCAGTCCAATTAGATGTGTTGGATTAGTGTCTAAGTCCATACCTATTTTGGTATGTACTTGACCCGATTATGAGCATGGTCCTTTTGGGTTGCCTTCACCATAGAAATATGTAGGATGAATTAAGGAGAGAAATGTTTAATTATGATATTATGAGAATAATAATATATTAAAGGAGAAATCATATTGTTTAATTAATATTAGTCAAGAATTAATAAAAAATTAATTTTGTGGCTAAAAGAGATTAATTAAACTTAGGGGACTGGAATTGTAATTATAAGATAATTGCAATTAGACTATGGATCACCTTGGAATAAGAGGTTGGGCAAATTCTATGGGGAATCCCATTAGAAATCGTCCAAGGCATGTTCCAGAAGGGGTCCATGGGCTGCTTAGGGCTTAAGCAGTCAAATTAGGGTTTCCTTGTTAGATAACCCTAATTGTCTACCTATTTAAAGAACCCTTGAGACCCAAAAATGTGGCTAAGTGTTCCTTTATGGTTTCCAGCCGTTTTTGGTGCCTTCTCTCTCCTCCTTCTTCATCCAAGTTGCTTAGTGGTGTTTGTGACTCCATTAGAGGTGCAACACTTGAGGCACTAAGCTTTCTGAAGCCAAGGATTGATTGTTATTGCTATATAACAATCAAAGGTAAGATCTAAACCCTAATTTCAGTTATAGTTTACCAGATCTAGGGTTTATGGCTTTGGATTATCAATTGCAGGTTCATTAGACAAACTAGATCCAAAGTTATTAGGGTTTGCATGTACACCATTGGAATGATGTTTTGCTCGATACCCATCAAGATGTACCATGGATTTTATATATTTATGGCTAATCGAAGATGGTAACTTAGGATTCCGAACATTTTTTTTCATTAGACCGTTATTTTCAAAGATGATGCATAGTGCTTTACAAAAATTGTAAAGCCAAAGTAAATTAATATAGTCTTGGTCTTAGGGATGAGCATATGGACCGAGGAACCGGCACCGGAACCGGAACCCGATGGAACCGGTCGGGTCGGGACCGGGACGTTATTTTTGTGGATTTTTGGAACCGGAAACCAGTAGGAACCGGAACCGATATAACCGGAACTGGTAGAACCGGCAAAAACCGGTAGAACCGGCAAGAACCGGAACCGGAACCGTATGATGCTATTTTTCAAAGATCGGTTCCAATATTTGAAGACACGACAAGAACCGGTAGGAAACGGGAACCGGTAGAACCGCCGGGCCGGTTCGGTTCTTGATTTTGGCCGAAGTCGGTTCCCGGTTCCGGTCCGGTTCCGGCCGGTTCGGTCCTTTTGCTCATCCCTACTTGGTCTTATCCACCTACTAACGGTTTTGAACCCCACATAAAAAATTCCATAAACACATGTTCCAATGCCCACTCCCAACACCACAATATTCCAAATATATGAAGCTTGCAAAAATAAAATGAAAGCATAGGGGTTATGTTGATGGGTCGTAGGGTCCTCATTTGTCTTGGTAACAACCAAAAAAAAAGAGTAAATTTAAAAGCCAGAAATTCTTGTACTCCTAAATTTAGTACCAAATTAAAATGAACTCTCGTATTGCTTTCCTCTTTTCTACTCTTGTTATTTTTCTGATTTCCGCCTCCATTTATGAGATCGATTATCAAGCTTTGTTGCAGTTCAAGTCAATGATCATGAATGAAGAAGTTCTAAGCTCATGCAACACTTCCTTTCATTTCTGTGATTGGAGTGGTGTTTTATGTGGGAAGCAGAATAAAAGAGTCACTGCTCTAGTACTGAATTAACAAGGCCTACACGGCTCGTTATCTCCTTATCTAGGGAACCTCAGCTTCCTTCATGATCTTTATCTCAAGAATAACAATTTTCAAGGTACGATCCCTCATGAACTCGGTCATCTATCTAGGCTATGTTTTCTCCAATTTGGCTACAATAAATTCAACGGAGTCATTCCAACTAACCTGTCTGGTTGTTCTAACCTTGAAGAGCTTGAACTCTATGCTAACAAGCTAGTTAGAAGCATACCCAAAGAGATCAGTTTAGGGATGAGCAAAAGGACCGAACCGGCCGGAACCGGGAACCGGCTTCGGCCAAAATCAAGAACCGAACCGGCCCGGCGGTTCTACCGGTTCCGGTTCTGCCGGTTCTTGTCGTGTCTTCAAATATTGGAACCGATCCTTGAAAAGTAGCATCATACGGTTCCGGTTCTTGCCGGTTCTACCGGTTTTTGCCGGTTCTACCGGTTCCAAAAATCCACAAAAATAACATCCCGGTCCCGGCCCGACCGGTTCCATCGGGTTCTGGTTCCGGTACCAATTCCGGCCGGTTCCTTGGTCCATATGCTCATCCCTAGATCAGTTTGCTCTCCAAACTTACTTATCTTTTAGTTTATGATAATAGCTTAACCAGTGGAATCCCTCCTGTCTTGAAGAATATAACATCAATGGAACAGTTCTCTGCTACAAGAAATCCATTGGGTGGAAGCATTCCTAACACCTTAGGAAATTGGAAAATTTTATCAGAATTTTACTCTGGTGCTTGTAACTTATCTGGAACCATCGCTCATTCCATTTTTAACCTCTCACTCCTAACTAATTTTTCCTTGCCTGTCAATCAGCTTACTGGTAGTCTTCCTTCAGCCATAGGTGAAATGCTCCCTCATCTTGAGTTCCTTCAATTACGGGGTAACAAACTGACCAAACCTATTCCACCCTCCATATCTAACTGTTCAAAGTTAAAATTTCTTGAATTGATGGATAACAATTTTAGGGGGAAGCTAAAAATTAACTTTGCAAAACTAAAAGATATATATATTTTATATCCTTGGGTAATAACATCTATGGATTTGGAGAAGCAGACGATATGAAGTTTATTGATACTTTGAAGAACTGCAGCAGAATAAAGGTGTTACATCTTATTAACTGCAATTTTCAAGGAGTGCTGCCCACAACAATTGGTAATCTTTCTGATCAACTAAGTATTCTAAGTTTGGATGGAAATGATATATATATATATGGAAACCTCCCTTCAAGTATAGGTAATCTGGTCGGCTTGATCGGTTTCTCTTTAACAGAAAACCAATTTACAGGAAAAATCCCCTCCACCATTGGTAACCTTCAAAAGCTACAAGAAGCTTACTTATATAACAACCAATTTTCAGGGCCAATTCCAGATGCCATCGGGAACTTATCATTGTTGACTGGCCTTTGGTTAAATTCCAACAAATTGGAAGGACATATTCCATCAATCCTGGGAAATTGTCATCATTTATTGGAGTTACACCTTGACGATAATAAACTCAGTGGAAAAATACCTACTCCACTTCTTCAACTTACATCTCTAACCATCATACTAAATCTTTCTCAAAACAACATGTCTGGGTCACTTCCAGTAGAGGTTGGTGAACTCAAGTTGTTGACTTCCTTGGATTTATCTGATAACAATTTATCAGGAAACATTCCTAGTAGCATTGGTGGTTGTACTAGCCTTTTATTATTATTCCTCAAAGGCAACACATTTCAAGGCATGGTACCAACGTCATTAAGTTCCATGAAAGGAGTTTCGACCCTCGATCTTTTGCATAATAATTTATCAGGCCAAATTCCTCGATTCTCAGAACAACTGACCTTATTAGAATATGTAAACCTATCCTTTAATGATTTTGAGGGTGAAGTACCAGTGATAGGAGTTTTTGCCAATGCAAGGAAATTCTCTGTTTTGGGGAATAGCAGGCTTTGTGGTGGCTTGGCTCAGCTTGGGTTACCAAAATGCAAAGAGACAGAAAAACATCAAAAAAGGTTTCCTTTGTTCGTCATACTCATTCCGGTCGCATCCACACTTTTTACCATATTATGTTTTGCATTTGTTTTAAGTAAGAAAAGGAAGAGCCACCCGTCTCAATCATCGGGAGACGAACGGTTCATGAAAGTATCATATGCTCAACATCTCAAGGCTACCAATGGCTTCTCCCAAGCCAATTTGATAGGCGATGGTGGGTTCGGCTCTGTTTACAAAGGAGTCCTTGATGATCATGATGGTGGAATTGTTGCAGTCAAAGTTCTACATCTGCAAAACCGAGGTGCCCACAGAAGCTTTATAGCAGAGTGTGAAGTGTGGCGGAGTATTCAACACCGGAATCTAGTTAAAATAATAACTTCATGTTCAAGTGTTGACTACCATGGAAATGACTTCAAAGCTTTGGTATACGAGTTCATGCCCAATGGGAGTTTACATGATTAGTTGCACTCAAGTGCAAGTAATTCCAGACTCAGCCTTCTTCAAAGAATAAATATCCTTCTTGATGTCGCAAGTGCACTTGATTACCTTCACAATCATTGCCTGCCAACCCTCGTTCACTATGACCTGAAGCCTAGCATCATTCTGTTGGATGATGATATGGTGGCCCATGTTGGAGACTTTGGTTTAGCTCGATTTCTTGGAGCAAATTCAAACAAAAACAGCACAAGTGGCATTAGAGGAACGATTGGGTACACACCTCCAGGTAAATTAAGTCCATTTATTCCCACATGCTCATATTTATTTGTAGTCTATTACCTTTTCCTAAAGTAATTGGTTATAAGTTGCAGAGTATGGTGTTGGGAGTGAAATGACAAGTAGTGGGGATGTCTATAGTTTTGGAATACTATTATTGGAAGTGATGACAGGGAAGAGGCCCACGGACAGCATCTTTAATGAAGGCCTCAGCCTTCATAAGTTTGCATGCATGGCCTTGCCAAACCATGTGACCGATGTTATTGATGATGACCTCCTGAATTTTCTTCAAGAGGATGCCATTGCTACAAAACATACAATAGCAAATGCAAAGAAAATGGAGGAATGTTTGGCTTCAATTATCAAGCTTGGAGTATCATGCTCCGTGGATTCCCCACCACAACGGATGAATATCGAAAATGTTGTCCACGAGTTGCAGCATATTTTAAATATACTTTAAAATATATTAAGTATTTGGAGAATCTTGTATTTTGATGGTATAAAATACGAAATAAATGGATTGAATGCATTATTTTAACTTTTGGGTTCATTTGAAAGAACGAAATTTTTGGGGGGTCATGTTGTAAATCTTGGAAGTTTGAAGATGTGCGCACCGTGTTGATATGAAATCAATTATAGTGAAGATCTTAAAAGAACTCAAGTACAAATTGAGTATTATTAAACATTAAGAACCATTTTTGTGCAGAAATCGATTGGATTAGGGTTGTGGAATTGATTAAGGGATAGAGTTCGTGGTCAAAGGTTTGAGGTATGTGCACCGTGTTTATATGGGCTGGTTCCATAATCGAGTAGATTCAACCCACACCCAACACCAAAAAATTCCAAAATCCATGGCCTTTCCGTTTTCAATTCCGTTCACAATTAAGCAAATGTTCGTGGCGTTTTTGTGGTTTTTTGATTTGCATGAATTTGTTGGAATTCTCATCGCCATATATCAAGTTCTGAAAAAAGAAAATGAATGGGCAGGGGTTATGTTAATGGGATAAATTTAAAAACGAGCAATGGATCAGATCGCAGTAACACTGATTTGCGACAAATAGAAGTTAGTCGTTTGATGAGGTAAATTGGATAGGTATAAACAAAAGGCACTATTTCATCTGAAAGATATTAAGTTCTTCCATAGTATTTCACAATCTTTTTAAGTATTAAACATATAAAATGGCACTATTTCATCTGAAAGATATTAAGTTCTTCCCACCTTAACAACAACTACACCACATACTAGAAAGGGCGTTTTCAAGTGTTAAACTATATTTAGGTCAAAATCTGACTAATTTGACAAAATCCCAGATTTTATAAATTTCAAAAAGATAATGATTCATATCCTTCATAATCATTGTGCTCCTATCACATTACCTCATCTTTCAAATTTCAAAAAAAAAAAAAATATCGATTAACAGTAAGTTGGCTAACATCATACATACACCAGTAGGTTTTACATACCTCAATTTCCCTCAAATATACAAAGACCTACTGATTCCTTCACGAAATTGATTCCCAATCTTGCTCTGGATCAAACTTTAACTTCCACTTTGGCAGTTTTCTTTTTTCAAAATTTCGATCTCTTAACTCCATCGCTTAAACTTTCCTCCCGCCCTCTTTGAGTCGTTTGAGAAGCAAAATATAAAAAGCAAAATGATTTACGAGGTAGCAAAGTCTAAAAAAAATCACTGATTTTTGTTTTGTAAAAAATATACCAATAAATTATATCATTAAAGTTATTATTTTTTTTTTTAATTTCTGTCACCGTTAAAACAAAGTTTCAAAATAATACAAAAAACACCATTTTATTTTGTTTAGTACCAATAAATTATAACATTTGTATACACAAGGAGGATGAAGATTACCTAAATTTTGAGATTGATAGCTCCTTTGCAAAACTCTAGGACCACCTTGCAATTTTCTTCTCTTTCGTGTACCTTTAGCCACCGAAATTAGGGAGAGGGGAGGGGATTGAAGCCTAGCATAGCAACATTGTGTTGGCAGAGCCATCCAAGACAATTTGAGGCCCGTGGCAAAACAAAAAAATTGGACCCTTTTGCAATAAAGGAGGGTTACATCACCGGAAAATTTTATTAATTAGATAAAAAAAATATTACAATTGTTGGTATGAAAAGAAAAAACTTCGAGACAGCCCCTTAAGCCAAACAACCTAACAACTATCGATACAAACAACATGACAAAATAAAAAAACAGAACATTCTAATAAATATACATAACAAAGAAAAATAATGAAATTTAAAACATTTTTTTGCTCATTTACAACAGTTTCTTCAATTTCTTGTACATCAGCAGAATTTTTTAAAAAAAACCTTATGCATAGATACTCTATGAGTTTCATTAGATTGTTTTTTTTTTTTTTTTTTTTTTTTTTTTTTTCGTTTTTCACTTCCAAACATATATTTTCTAGAAAACATGATCAGCAAATCTAAGTAATAAGAGGTCAACAAACCAGATATCAAACAGATTAAAGAAAAAAAAAACTAAGACTAAGAGAGTAGATACTATTGACTGTTTGTGAAAAAAAACTCTAAGCAGTTAAAAAAACCAAACACAACATAAATTTATGAAGTTCAAAATGACAAAGAAATCAAAATTAAAAATATTATCATTCATAAATCGGTGTCTTTCAATCTATTTGTAGTGCAGAAAGCAACTCCAAGCAGTTGAAAAAAAAGACAAATAAGAAATCGTCTCTGAAAAATGGAGAAGACTGTGACATACAATTCACAATTACAAGGTAGGTATTCACAATCAGATTCAGAAGGTTAGTGCTCACATATTAGATTCTACACATAATAAAAATCATTAAGTTAAAAAAAGAAAGATATTCATAAAAATAAAAATAAAAATAAAAATAAAATACGAATCGCACAAAATAATCACAAATTTCTTGAATACTAGAAAGTAGAACTTATATATACTAATAATTAGAAGGTCAGATACTCTCATACTCTCTCATACTCTGATTCTAAACAGATTCTACTCTTGATTTCATCTTAATTTCAAGAAAAGAAACTGTAAATCAAAAATAAGAAGGGCAAGAATCAACATTCATTCACTGGTGCTATTTTAGTAAAAGAAATTGGAAATGGAAAAGAAAAAGGACAATAATCTATTTCAGTTTTCTGGAATTGTGAAAAGGAGAAGCAATGAGACTCAATTCACTGACTGTCGATCCGATCGGTGGTTGTTGTGGAGAAACTCAAAAAATCAGGAATAGAAGAAAATCAGATGAAGAAGAAATCAATTTAAATTAATCACTTGAAATCTTAAATTAGAAGTTAGAAAGAGAAGAAATTGATTCCCATTGCTTCTTGAATCCTAAGAAACAACCAAAGGGTCTTTGGCGGAGTGACACTCTCAAGTGAGAGGTCATGGGTTCAAGTCTCATTCAAGACATATGTGGTTTTAAAAGTAAGTTAGTTTGCCGGTTCAACAAAGAATACTGAGAAATGGCGTTTGGATTTTCCATAGAAAACAATTGTTGAGTTATAGCGTCTTGGAAGTATGAAGCCAATCGCATGCCAATCTCGCTTTCTCTAGATTTCTTTTGGGGCGGCGCTATAATAAGAGTGTTAGGCTTTAAAAAAATGTCCAACAAACTTAAAACTAATGGGCTAATACCATATAACCACTATACCAAGTAAAAATGGGGGCCCTTAGGCATTTGGGGATCCGGGGCGGTCGCCCAGCTTACCCAGGTTGATGGCCGACCCTATGTGTTGGATGATGATATGGTGGCCCATGCTAGAGATTTTGGTTTAGATCGATTTCTTGGAATAAAGTCAAACCAAGCAACAAAAGTGGTATTAGAGGAACATTTGGTAATGCACTTCCACGTAAAATTCATCTACTCCAATATGGTTATATTTATTTATAGTGTTACCTTCTTTTTCTATAGTAAATGTTTATATGTTATAGGGTATGGTATTGAGAGTGAGATGACAAGGCATCTTTAATGAAGGACTTAGAGTCTGCTTGGTTGCAAAAAAAATTCTAGTTTTCCATGAAATTTTATAAAACGCGTTTGATCAATTCAGTTTTCAAAAAATGTTCAAGAAAATGAAAATTTTTTGTTTTCCAAGTTGTATATTGTAAATTAGAAATTAATTTTTACAGTTTTCCAAAGTTTTCTACATTTCTAAGATGGAAAATGAAAAACTCTACCAGTTTCAACTAAGCGATTTTTTTAAAATTTTCATTGAAAACCGAGGTTATCCATTTTGGACATTCTTAATGTTCTTCAAGAGGATGATATATATATATATATATATATATATATATATATATATATACATATATTATTTAAATATAAAAACTTATAGTATTGATAAGGGTTATTTTTTTCTGGCCCGTCCTGAACTTTTAAGGATATTTAATTTTTCAGGTTCGACCCTATTAAGTATAAAGGGTTGTTTCCATTTGGAGTGTTTTCCCTACTCGATTGATCGGAGTGAGTCCTGCAGTCAAATTGTCAAATTACTGAGTTTGGGAAACTAGATCTAAATAAAGAGCATAATGTGACACACTAGTTTGAATTCAAATTCCATTTTTGGAATCGGATTAAAGAGAAAAAATATGGACAAATTTAAAAGAATGGAGAAATCATCATAGGGATCTTGATGTTACAGGAAGAAGGGAGAAATCACCACTCAAACTAATAATAATATAAATACAAAATAAACAATAAAAAACTATAGAGCACAGTTGTAGAACTATGTTATATTATCCATTTTAACGGGCTCTATAGCTCATATTATGTAGTGACTCTTCGGTTAAAGGATAGATCTACAAAGCCCGAGCATGGCTCTATGCATGGGAATCACATGTTCAAGGCTAAAGAGCCCAGTCATGCCAACGAGCCAATGAATATTAATATATTATTCATATATTCATATCTTACAATACCCCAATGATGTGAGTATGAGCTCTTTAGCGGTCTAGCCGTTCATATGTGATTTGCATGATTGGGTTAAAAATCTCAATCCAATTGGATATATGTATTATAGATTTTAAATATTTGTGGCTATCTCTTTAGCTTTTCACTTGTGTTTCGCATGACTGGGCTAAAAAACTCAATCCAATTGGATGTATTATGGATTTTATATATTTGTGGCTATTCCAAACATTTTTCTTTTCATGGAAAGTGATTTTCAAAGATGATGTGTAGTGCGTGCAAAGTTTATAAAAGCCAAAGTAAATTTTTATGGTCTTGGTCTTCTCCTCCAAATAGTGAAATGATTTTGTACCCTACATAAATAAATTCCGCAAACACTTATGCACCACAAGATTCCAAATATAGAAAAGAAAAAAAATGAAAGAACAGGGGTTATGTTGATGGGTCGTGGGGTCCTCATATGCCTTGGTAACAGCCAAAAAAGAGTAAAAATTTAAAAGAAAGAAATTCTTGTACTCCTTTTTTTTTTTTTTTTTTTGAAAACTTTATTAGAAAAAATAAAAGAATACAAAATTTGTTTAAAACTTACAATCCAAAATTCAAGAAATTAAAGCTACTACTACTTAACCAACCAATCCATAATCACTGACTT